GCTCGATTATTCAATTTGTTGAAGAAGTTCAAAGACATGAATTGGTCTGAAGAAATATCAGCAATGATATATACTCTATACAGTGTGGCCACGATCGAAACAGAAAGCGGTACTGGTGGCACACCCTTTAGTGGACACCTTCTTAACATGCCAAATGATTGAAAGTGACATGTTCACAAATCAAATGTAAAAACATACATTCTTCCACAATTTTTTATTCAATAAAGTCCAAACATAATATAATAATAAAATCTTTACTGATATCCAATGTCAATAAAAAAGAAGCTCTTATTGTTTACTGATTTATTTAGAATGTCAAGAGAAATTGCACAATATTATTTGTTTTGAATATTATTTGCTGTGCTACATTATTGCTGCATGATAAGTACTATTATAATTTGGTAAATCCTTTATCGCTTTTATCTAACACAAATGAATTTTCAAAAATGGATTCAAACATTATTTTAAGAGTGACTACAACAGTCCTATGCTATTGGTTAAACCAACTTGTAACTCTTTTTTTAGAGAAATATTGACTAGAGAATACAACATCGAGATTGTTTTTAAAATGTTTGTGCATTTCGACAAATGCCACATCCTAAAGCAAATTCATCACCGGTAGGTGGATGAATAATATGTAACGGGCAATCGCCTATGAGTTGCTTCGCCTTTGGAGCGGCTGGACATTTGGGCAATTTTGCTTTTGGAATGTTTGTCAGGCGTTGAAAGTCATCGTGACATGTATCACAAAAATGCGTCGAACCAAAGCAGAAATACACTGCAACCGAACAGCAGAATCGACACTTGTATTCAAGATAATCCATGCCGTGTTTTGGACACATCTGAATCAAAAGAAGACGAATTAAAAAATGAATATATTCAACATAATAATAGATGATATTTGTGTACCTTGGCACGTGCAACATCACTACAGCCTCCACAAACCAATTCAGCAGGATTATACTTATCCTGTGAGTGAATCGGAAAAGAAAAATGAAAATTAATCAAAATGTAATGGAATATGGATTTTAAAAATAATCAAATGAATGGACTGCAATTCTTCCACAACGAAAAAATAATTGTTTAATTGAATTGCGAACTTACTCCCATTTCAGCATCGCACCGAGCCTCTCCACCATAGTATGCTTTTGAGCATTTATAGCAAACATAATATGCATATCGATCCATTGCATATGAGCCGAGATCTTTTTGATTGGCTAACTGAACAATGCCTTCGTACTCCAACCTAATAAAAACATATTCAAAAATACATGCGATTAAATTGTGAAATACTTCAGATTTTATGTATTGATATTACCGCATGATAGCCTTTCGTTTGACATCGGCCTTAAGTTCGTTGATGGGATCCAATAGATCGGTCAATGTATAATGCATGATATCAGCCTTACAAATTGGACACAATGAAAATCCAAAACTAATTCGTGGACCTATCCAACGTTTTTCAAGCACAGTACGACAGCAATGATAATGAAACACATGACCGCAATCAAGTTGAATTGCTGGCGCACACGATAGCGCCGAAACAAAACAAATCATGCACATATCGTCGGCGTCTTGTTTTAATTTTGGTTCTTTTAAATTCTCGGACAACTCATTTTCTCGCTTGTGACACACAACCTCCAAGCATGGCAAGCACTTTGTTTCATTCACCACTCCGCCGCATGAATGTCCGCATGATTTCAATTTTGCACATACATTCGCTGCAAACTCTTGGCATTCCTTATCGGCGCAAACGTTACTCATGGCCAATATGCCCGAATCACCCACGGCTCCACAAAATCTACACCGACCTGCTAAATAATTTGAATTTGTTATTTAAAAGTGCTCCGTGCAAATGTATGGCATTAAATAAAATATTCTTGCCTGTAGACATTGCTTGACCCGATATGGCAGCTATATTTCCATCACGGAACTCAATGATGGCCTTGAGATTTCTTGAATCAGCCAAAGCAAGTAGCCAAAATAGTTTGGTCCGACCGCAACCTTCATGTAGCTCGACACGAATGGCATCTTCCTCTTCTTTGCAGACGGTACGACGATGATTTCTTGTTTTGCGGCTCAAATGCAAGAAACGATCACAATCAGCGCACAGCGATAGACACGTTTCACATTGAATGATTGCAGCTGTAACGCCATCGTCATGATTTGAGCATAACGGCCGAGTTTCAGATATTTTCGACCATTGTCCAGACGACAATCTATTTTGAATTAAATGTATTTAGATTTGATCTTCATTTTTTCAAGATTCTCCAGTGTTAAATTTTCTATTTCAACATACCGTTCAACATGATCCTTATCCAGTACACATAAACTTGCCAATGCCAACCATAAAGTGGCAGTTTTAATACAGTTCTCATGGGTGCGGTAGATTTCATCAAGCCGAGTTAGATTAAGAATGGATTCAGCGATCGCAGCCTTTGTCACCGTTGACCATTTGTCCGATAGTTTTCCCTGTAAAATAGTTTTTCGATCTGTAATTAGTATGCGTCCATAAGATATGAGAATCTAAAATGTATACATACACTCGCCATGTCTCGAATAAGTAGAATGATATTTTCGGCTTGTTTTATATTGATCGTGCCACGTAAAAACCAACGTTGATTTAAATTTCTTGACTCTGATTTCTTTGGAATGAATTCAAAATCGGATGTTCCAGCAATATCTTTGCCATCTCTCTCGTGCACAAGTAAATTCGATATGCTTAAGTCGATGCAATTACATAATTGTAACGAAATCGATTGTTTATTTGACACCGCACTTGATGAGCTGGTCGATTTAACTTTTACCTGCAGTTGCAATGACTTTGCAATGACTGCGAGGAATATGTCCAATATACCCAAACGATTCATATCGAATTCTTCGTTATTCTGATTGGATATATTGAAGTCATTTGGTGGCAAACTGTAAACATTTAAGAGATCGGCCAATTGTTCGGGCGGTATTTCAGGTAGAATTCTACGGAGCAAAGCAGTTACTTGCCGTTGAACACGATCACTTCCAGTGTGTAAAAGAGTCAGTAGATCTTTGAGAAGCCCATGTTGATTTGAAATATACGAGCGTCCCACGGCACTCCCGCTCAAGGCCAACACCATGCTCAACATTTCGAAACAATAAATATCCGGTGCCCGTGAATTTTCACTCGCCGAATCACTCTTATGTTCACTATTTGCCAGTTGAACATCAGAATTGATGGCACGATTGTCAAACATCAATGCCGAATTAGCTTCCCATTCATCTTTGGCGCGAATCGTTTCTTTTCTTATCGCATGCACAATGTGAACGATTACTTGTTTTTGCAGATGACTCAATTTACTACGACCACTACGGCTAAATAGAATGCCCACCATATGCTCTCGTAAGTCAAGTGAATCGGCCAACATAGATGTTCCATTCGAATCAATTGCACCGATCGTACCAGTAGATTGTAGATTATTCGATATAGCACCTTCATTATTCGTATCTTGATCAATTTCCTGATCGGATTCATTTCCCAAAATTAATTTGCCAAAGACTTGACTTGTCAGCAAACGGAACACTCGAAGCGTTTCAGATTCACAGTTTCGATGCTGAATTTGCGATGCATTGAGCAATTTTACGTTCGATTTCAATATCATATCGTCGCCACTGATCGGAATGCCAAGCAATTTAATTTGACGAACGCGCAACGTTTCTGCTCCTTTCAATTCAATTCGGAAATGAATATACGATTCATCTGCAAAATTAAAGTGAAAATCGAATAATATATTTGAATTTTCGTATATCGAACCAAAGAAATACTCACCCGAGACATTTGCCGAAATCCAAGAACCGGTTCGTGAATCAACGTCATATGATTTGATTAAATTCGTATCGCCCAGCGATTGTCCGCCATAAAATAGAATGTTCGTGACCTTATTCTGCAGATCTCTGGTGTTATCAATATGAACGGCAACCATTTTGCATGAATAGTCAAATTTATTCAATGACACCTCAATGGTTTTTGATTTATTACGATCTTCTTCATCACTTTCCCAGAATGTTTCCGTTGAGTTATCGGTTAGCGCTGACACCATTGCCAGACGTGACGATACGTTCACTTCAAACATTCCGCTCATATCATGCAGTGAATAGAACTTGGTGCCACTAACATTTCCATGGCTATTCAACAGCAAATTTACATCACCAAATATGAAAGGTACATCGTCTGTTTGATGTTCGCGTAGTTCATCGGATCGCGAAAGAATTTTCGAAATGTTCCCAAACACATGCGATTGATGTAAAAATTGGTGATCATTCTGATGGAATTTGATACCAAAACAGTTTATGGCCAATTGTTGCAGTGCCGATCCGGATGGTAAGAGTAATGTCAAATCGGCAATGGATTGTAGAAATGAATGGAAACTTTGTGTCAGCAACGATGAGATTTTATCACACATTTTAATTGATGTCATTGGATGTTCTAGTGCTTCATCATACTTTGAGATTTCATCCTCATTTGATGGATACAATGCTGATACAAACCACCACATTATATCATGCAAAGAAGTTGATTGCGTCACCGATCGAATAAACCAATTCAATGCTTGCAATGCGAATATTCGGCACGTTGCAATTCGAAGATTTCGTTTCATGGCATAGCGCAATTTTTCCAAATTATGAGACTGCAAACAGAACATAAGAGTTGGACGCGACAGAAGATTTGGCATATCAATCAAATTTGATGTATTCCGTTTGGCCAGTTCGTTTGCAGTTGCCAACGAAATGTCAACGGTTGCATTACGTGAATCACCAATTTTCGATATAATAACAAATTCCTCTTGATTTTCAGCATCAGATAATTGCTCATCGACGTCATTTTCATTCTCGTTTTTCACATCTAGATTTTCCATAGGGTTATTCGATGGCAACAATGTTGATGCCAATTTCGAATATGATTGCATGGCTGCATTAAAGTTGAACACCTCTTCGGGCACTAATTTGCGAAGATTTTCTGATGGTTGGCACAAAGACAGAGAACCATCTGACAAAGGATTCAAAAATATTTCTTTAATTATTCCAAATTACACAATTAATTTAATTAAAAAAAACGAAACTAACCAGCATCACAAACTTTGTTGTTTTTTCTTCGCATCACAACTTTTGTCTCATAATTTTCATCGGGTTGATATCCATATCTATTTGCCAGCGATTGACCCATTGAAATGCTTCTGTGAAACTTTGACAGTGTGTTATTACTCGTCACTGAACTGTTCATCAATGTCCCGTTTCCATAGGGACCCCCATCTCCCACATCAAGCGATATATCAGAAAGCGGCTATGTAAATAAATTTATATTTTTTAAAGGACACGTCAATAAGTAAAGGGCAGTAAAAATGACTGAATTTTTCCATTCAAATCTGACTTACTCTATCGAAACTGCTTTCGGAATAGCCAATTCGATCGTATGGCGCTAAATCTTTGGCTACATTTGCGCCCAATGATTCGAGACATAAAAACATATCAGAAACTGACCAAATTAAATCTGGCGATGATGCTTCGGATTTCCTTGAACCTTTGTTGCCTTTTGAATATCGATTGATTAATTGCGTTTCATTTCGACTTAAATCAAATGTTTGATGTTCATTCACCACTGGCATTTGATCTTTTCTTGCAAACGGTTTCTTTTGATTGCCTAACATTGCTATGGATGACAAACATAAATTGATAATTCATGTACACAAAATTCACTTAAGGATTATACTTACGTGAATTAGTCGATGACAATTCCAATAGGAACAGTGCATTCTCTTTCATCATTTGAAACATATCAATATTGGAATCACTACTCAGTTTCATAGCCGTCATTGAATGGAGTTTTTGATTTGACAAATATGGTGGTGGACATGCCAAATTGCTCATAATTTGACTATTATGATTCCCCTCCATGTACCTAAATAAATGATACCGTTTATTTATACTCTTCCATACAAATGAAATGATCAATCACACTTACTTATCATGACAAGTCTCGCACATAAGATACCATGAAGATGCACCACGACCACCTTCTCCACAATTTCCAGCCCATCCTTCGCAATATGTGCCAACCGAATTATATCCTTTGCCTTTGGCTCGTTTACCGCAACCCGGATGAACCAGGCGCATGTGATACGTAACCGGAATCGGTAAAAAGAGTTCACACAATTCACAGTATGATCCATCGTCTGCATTAAATTGTGACGATTCAAAATATCAGCTGAATTTTTCTCAAATATATTTCATTGCTTACCCTTTTTGGCGTCGACCTTCCTAGAATCAAAATCGCTAACATTTTGATCATCAATCAAAGTTGAATCTTTGATGTTTTGCTCATTTTCTACATTCATTCCGTTTCTTTGGATCACTTGAATGCAATTGGCACTGATTTGTTCCCATAGGAAAACTAAACAACGCAAAGCAGGCGGACAACTCGTTATTTCAGAGTGTACGGAGTCCGATTTGCCTTGATCGGGCGAAGTCATTTGACTCTAAAAAAATGAAACCAAAGAAATATATGTTACTATGCTGTTGTAGTTTGAATTACTAGTTGAACTTACATTTGTTTTTCGATTGCGTCGATTGAAAATGCTCGACTGTCCGGATTTGTTAAGTGTTTCAAGTGTTGACGGGCGGATGTTCAAGTAATTACCAGTATTAGCTACTTCAACCGAATATCTTTGTTGTGCCCGTTGTTCCCTTTTTTGAATACAAAGAAAAAATACACAAGCGATTAGAATTGAATTCAATAAACAAATCTGAAATTCATACTTGGATAGATGAACGGGGTCAGTTTTGACGACATCATTTGTAAAAGTGAGTGCATTTCTTTTTGGCAACGAAGGATGAAATTTCAAATATGTTGAACATGCCATTGCATCATAAACGAGTCCCTCGTGCCATAAAAATGCGGCAAACACAGCACGAAAACTTTCGGCAAGCCCTGAGGGCAATGCACGTTTTGGAAACTCTTTCGATTCAGACGGAGCACCATTTTCATTTTCCTCTCGTTCCATCGTTTCTGGCTTTTCGGTGTTGCGACATTTTTTAGTTGTCTCAATTGATTTTAATGTTTTCAATGGCGACGAACAGACTTGGGAATCCATTGAAACGGTTATCGTTCGCTTCATTTGCTTTCGCGGTGACTGAGGCTCGAAACGTTGTTCATTCAATTGAATGTCATTGTCAAATGTGAAGAATCCACCGCGACTTCGGTTTGATGAGGTTGTATCGAAATCGGTCTGCGACGAATGTGAACCACCAAAAATTGATTCAGGAATATTCTGAAAAATATGTACAAATAAATTTCTTTCAATGACTGTTTCGAAACAGGCAGTTTTTTGATTAAATTACCTCCTTTGTATCACTGAAAGTGAACGAGTTTTGAACACCCGATGTATCGGATACTTCTACCGATTTTGAACTACTGCTATACACCGATTGTTCTACAAAAAGATATTCATTAAAAATGATGAGTTTTTTTCTTAAATTTTAAATACTCGAATGTTACTTTCCATCCTTTTAACAAATACAAAATATTTTTCTATACATCTGTCAATTTCCATCGGAAAGAACAATTCACAAATTAATTAACTATAATAATTCAATCAATTGAGAAAAAATCAAAAATGAAATGACATCTTTAGCCCATCAATGTCACAAGAATTTGAAATGCGCTCCTTAACATTTTGCAAGCTTGCATAATTGTCACTCATTCAATATGGCCGATCAAACATATTTGCGCTTGTGTGCTATAGTCCTATTTTATGCTTACGCGTCACTCAATATTGGAAGCCATTCTGCTTGTGTCTCATTCAGATTGTTATATTCGATGTGAAGGCATCAAATATTTAACATTTACACTAAATTTTCTTTTGAATGGTTCTCTACACCAGTGATTCAGTTAGTTTTGAGATTGAAAAATAAAAATGTTGTGGAAAAAGGATTGTAAACAGGTACAAGATCGTGGAAACGCGATGTACACTGATCTATTGAATTCACAGGGGCTGGAAAGAATTTACGAACGCCACAAAGTCTCATGCATACAAATGAAATGTGGATATGGGCCATACGAAAAAAATTCAAAAGAAGCATTGAGGTTTCGACAAAAAGGAAATGCCGTATTTGGTGAGAAAAAATGGATGCACGCAATAGAATGTTACAACAAATCAATTTGTTTTGCTAAAGATGGCTCCGAGCTGATGGGATTAGCATATGCAAATCGATCATCGTGTTTTTTCAATTTGAAAATGTATCGAAATTGTTTGATTGATCTCGGGCATGCCAAAGAAAACCACTATCCAGCCGAAAAAATGGCCAAATTGGACGAACGAAAAGCCGTCTGCTTGCGTATGATGGAGGAGGAGATCGATAGAAGTGAAGCGTATCATGCAAAGCTGTGCTATGAACCCAACGAAAACTTTCCGTGCTTTGCCAATGTTCTGAAAGTTGCAAACAACACTAAACATGGACGACATGTTATTGCGATGACAAACATTGAGGTCGGCAAAACGGTGATGGTCGATAAACCATATTTTGCTGAGACAATCAACCAGAAGTTCCAGCGATGCAATATTTGTTTGAAGACTGAAACAAATCTGAAACCATGCAAAACATGCGTGTACACAATGTTCTGTTCACAATGTGAAGAAAATGATTTGCACAAAATCGAATGCGCCGTCAACCAAATTCACTATTCAACACTTGGATTCATCAGTTTTCGAATGGTCGTTATTCGTTCGATTTTGATCGCACTAAATACATTTTCTGGTATCGATGAATTGATTGCTGGTGTTGAAGAAATGTTGTTAAGTGACGTAACCGAAGTGCCCGAGTCGTTGTCCGAACCGCAAACAAAGTATCGAGCATTTTTCAAACTGTGCCCAAACCCAAAACAACAAACTGATGGCGCACTTCAACGAAAAGTTTATCTTATTTACAAGTTACTGATGGAAAGTGCTGAGTTTGCAAAGAAGTTTAATTCGGACGAACACAAACGTTTTCTGATGCATTTGATTGGACACCACATAATTATCATTAAAGATTTTATTCGGAATGATCGATACAAAACCGGCACACAAGGCGTATTCGGCGAAGACATTGAAGTGTACTATGAACACTGCATGAGTGCGTAGTAATTTTTATTTTTATTTTATATATTCAGTTTTGTCACTGCAATAAAATGTTTAACTAATTTTGTGTAATTTTTCTAATCCTCAGGTATTCCTGCGTCGTATTTTAATCATTCGTGTGCTCCGAACGCTTACATTACATCCCAAAATGGGTCCACAGTCTGTGTATCGGTTCGACCAATTCGAAAAGGTGAGGAACTCTGTGTAGCATATGACGAACATGTTTTGTTGGAGGAGAAGGCAGAGCGTCAGCAAATGATACAAGAGAAATTCAAGTTCCAGTGCAAATGCAAACGATGTGAATCACCACTATTGGAATTATTAAGTCGCAAACCGAGTTTGCGAATCCTTTCTGATTGCAACTACCAATCGTTCATTGCCGACTTGAATGCTATGGACGACGTAAAATCGATAAGTCGCGACCAGCAAGAATCATTGAAGTTGAACATTTTCAGCCTTTTGAAAAAGTATAAGAACCACAATTGGCTCTACGAAATATCTCGCATCATTTACAGTTTGTACACAGTGGCATTGATTGAATCCGAAAGTCTTGAACGTGGCATGCCCTATGTTGGACGCGTATTGAATTTTGATTTGGAATGAAATAGAAACATTTCTGTAAACTATACACAACATTTTTATGAAGCATGTCTTTTATAACAATCAAATATTGTTATTCTGAATTTTGAATTAATTAAGATCGATTTACCAATTGTCAACCAAAATTAATTACTTTTTCATTATTAAACATTAGAGAGTTTATGTTTAACAATATCACAATTTGTGAACATACATTTTTCATCTTTCTTCAATAAACCTTATATAGACTTATATCATTTTTTTGTTCATTTACCTATTTCCTTATAGATTGGGCAAGAAAAATGGTGACATTCACATAGTGTACGACTTTTCATTGTTACCAATTTGAAAATATATCTCTATTGTTTTGGAAATGCATTGTGTCTACAGTTCTTCAAAAGTGTTCACAGTTGATGATACAGAATGAAGCATATTCAAATTTCATCTTGAAGCATGTTTATATCAACAAGATTTTTTCCATAACAAAAAAGGCTTTGCCAATTTGACATATATTCAAAAATTAACCGTTTTAAGATCTGTTCGTATGTGTACTGTATATGCGTGTTTGTGTGAGTGCGAACTTCAAACATTTCTCTTTTGATATGCATTGACAGCTAGAACACGACATTTGTTAACGATTTTATAAAATTTCTGTTATTATTTTATCATATGTCACAGAATTTAAGCACAATTTTGATTGAATACTATCGACTAAATAAATAAATAAGAAATAATCATTTACATAAACGCAATGGAAAATTAAAAGGGCAAACAGATTATAGCTTGTGAATCAATTGTGTACGTATTGTAATAAACAAATAAATAAATTGTAAAACGATATTTCTTCATTATTAGTAGTAGTCTCTTTTTCTATCGATTCAATTTATTTGAATGAAGCAATTCACTGTTTACTGTAGAAAATCAGGCGTACTTTTCAACTGAAAACTACGCTTTCTCTTCTTTTCTGCCTATCTTATTTGAATCACAGAATATATCAATCATTTTATGTGCACTAAAAGAAGAAACTTAAAACAAAATGTGCAACTTACTGAATGGTATCGAAATCGGGCTTGAACTTTGACTCAATGGATGAATCGGTGAATTAGAGTTACCTTTTCCATCGTTGGAATTTCCGCCAATCACTTTAACCATTTCGCGCACCGAAACTGAAGCCAATTCGGCAAGGTCACCTCGTTTTCTCGGACTGTTCGTATCCTTGCAATCGAAACTATCGCTTTTGAACCATTTTTGAATTTGAGCCAATTTACTCGAGCCACCGGCTGTCCATTTGTCGATATTTGATTGTGACTGTTGTTTGACCTGATTGTAATTGGGCGACGACGAAATCGATGACACGCCACTCTTTTCGCATTCATCTTGCGAAACATAGTCATCTAAGTCGTCTGCGTCTTCAATCACTTTGCCGGAACGTTTAGGTAATTTTTCGAACGGATTTCTTGATAAACGTGACGATACCTTGCCACTCATTGGTACTGATTCACTGAATTCATTATCTGAATGCTTGAAAATGTCTTTAAATGGATTAGTTTCAGCTAACCGCTCGTCAGCATGACGGTGTTTTCTGTTTGGAGATTTTCTTGGAACAATCTCCGGTGGAATTGTGGTCAAGTGATGCGTGTCGGAAGTTGGCGTTGCTTCATTGTCGATATATGTTTCATCGTGTTGTCTGGAATATGCACTTTCTTGTCGTGTACTTGATGTTTCAATTATCGGATGCAAAAGTGTTTTATCAATATGTTGATTATATTGTAGACACCAAGCTTCCAATGGGTACCAGCCTGGTGAACAATGTTGTCGAATTGATTCGGTAGACAATCGCACCCATAGACCATCATCGTTTTCAACCTGTATTCAAGACAGATAATTTTGTATTAGAATTGACTATTTTATTCTGCGTTTTTAAAGAACAAACCTCATCGATAAATGAAATGATGCCGTCCATTTTTAAGGTTCCAAGCATTTCTGATTGTAATGTTGGATGCGAACGGATTCGTAAACCAGCCGAATTGGCAGCGCGAAATCGTCGAAGTTTATTTTGCGGTTGACTTTTTTCCAATGCGATTTTCTGTGGTGGTGGAGGAATACCAGCTTCTTTCACTTCGGTACGATAGACTTCTTCTAAAGTCACATTATCGATTGTGATTGATAATGAAAAGTGACCGATTCCGTTTGGCGTCCAGACTGTACCTATTTTTTTTCAAAATATTAACACACAAAAATGTCACATCATGTTGAAAAATATAATCGAATGGATTTGAAATGATGTAAAATTGTTATTTGAAATTTACCGTAATTATAATCTCCCAAATCACTTGCGTAAAGAATTTCGGACACTTTATTTTGTGATGGATTACAAAAACGCAGCTCTTCGAAAGAGTATTGAGCATATGGCTGAAATTCGATAAAAATAAAACAATTGACGCAATAGTTTTTTCACAGTTAAATCAAATAATAGAAATAAATTTTAAAACACCGTTGAAAATCTACCTTCATTAAGGTGATTGCTTTAAAGCACATTTTGTCTTCGATGGTCGGTTCATATGGGATACGGGGTGGCATTGCAACACCTTTGTATGCATTCATATCGACTTGTGATAGACGTTTTCCTTTTCGATTTCCGTTGAATCCATTCGACGGAGTTGCTTTAATTTGAATCTATTTACATTGGAAATGTTCATTTATTATCATTTTTTTTTTTCAAATCTATAACTACATCCTTGCACTTTTAGGTCCAAAATGTGGAGAAAAAAACATTCACAAAATAAAATATGCAAACCTTCAAATTTGGTACGTAGACAGGAGATCCGTATTGATCACGAGTAATGACAGATAACTGTGTTGGCCATCCATACCGTACTGGTTCGCTTATCGCTTTTAATTCACACTTATTTGGATCTAATCGTCTATCAGGCTGCAACCAACAAGCTATTCGAAAAAATGTTAAATATGAATCATTCAGAGTCCAAAGTCTTGTAATCTTTCAAAGTGATCAAGAATTCAGATAAATAAAAAGTATATTTTTATAATTACCCAGACGTTCACCAGACGATCCGGGTACCGCACCAACAAAATCTTTCAAAAATTGTCTCTCATTCGAATTTCCTCTGCAAAATAACAATAGATGAACCAATTCATAAAAATAGCCTTCGAAAAATGGGTTGCGCGCGCGCAATTTCAAAGGTTTATTCATAGATCTAATATATTTTAAACAATTGATTGTAATCTATTTGTGCTACAGTCAAACTCGGTTATTGTTAGTGTCCTCTCCTAGTATGGAATCAGTTTTTATTGGCATTTAATTCAATCACTTTGACCAATTCATATTTGATGGATCTTAATTGAATTAGTGCAATCGTAGAGTATTCGAACGGTCATTCGTTGGATGTAAACGTTTCAAAACATGACAATCCGATAAATTCTTTTATCATATATACTTTTGATCGAAAAGTGATTAAAACATACGACATATTGGCCACGAAGTAGCGGTCATTGATATCAAAACTATTCCGTTAAAAGAACATTGATAAGTATTTCAAATTGCAAAATGAATTTTTCTAGAAGAAAACGGCTGACTGTATTGAATTCCATAGAATTACAATCTTAGTATGCATTTAGACCGGGTAATGCGTTTTTATAATAAAAAAAACCCAAGATAAGCAAATTTGTTTATTCTATTTTCGTTTAAATTGTGCAATTTGTTGCAATTGAATTTTGTAGGTTGGTGTTCATACGTCAAACATAAATTTCCGTTTAATTCATGTGTACGATTGCAGCTGCATGATGCATCTTATTATGAAATCACCATCATTTCAATAGTTCTCATGTCACTAATTGTAAGTAGATATTGAACTCTGTGTTGGATATTAACACTTACACAGCCATTAAAATTACTCACCCAAACCCAAACCGAATATAAACAAATTGGTCATGAAGCAGCTACAGTGTTAATACATATTCTTTTTTTATAGAAACAAGAAAGAATCTCATACATACAGAAATACACAGACAGAGTCAGCTAAGTTGTAACAGTATAATGTGAAGAGCCACTCATGCGGGATTTACTTAACATATGATAAAAATGAATACACACAAAGTCATGCAACAACGCCATGAAATGTTCGCTTTTTGTGTGTATTTTATTTTTTTACCCATACATACAAATGCTTAAAATGAACCGACGTGTGAGTTAGTAAGTGTATGAGAATCCAGTGTATTGGCACAACAACAGATACATTCTACAGCAGACCACTACACTTTTACACAGTGAAATTCTACGTGCCGAATTGACTTCGGATCGAATGAAACGAAATACAGAGAAAAACGATCATAGTTTTGTTGAGCGATTCAGTTGAAGTTCTGGCATTCTCTGATTCACTGCGTTTCGCTTTAATATTATTTTCTCGATTCCAATTTTTTATTTTTGGTGTTTAAACAGTGGTTTTGCGTTTGGCTTTGTTTTTCAAGCTAAGAGATGTAAATATTTATATTCATTCATTTTTAATTTGTCTGTTCTTATGTGGTGGAAGTGCTTTGGAACGATGGACATGTGGTTTAATTGGATAGAAAAACGCATCCATAAAAGTCTAAATTGAAGAAAATATTGTGGTTGTTTGTTGTGTATGAGAGAGATCGTGTGAACGTTTTTCACAATACCAATAGAAAAAGGACTAGTGTAGTTGTTTTTAGACGTAAGAAAATTTCATTCATTCTCCGAAGAAATGATACCTTAGTGACTTCATCGTTTACTGATTTTCAACATAAAAAATATCAATTTCAATGCATTTATTGCGTGTTTTAATTCATATTTTCCATTTGGTCTTCTGACTTGTGTGACATTTCAATTAATTTGTTCCTTATACGAATGCATTTGCAAGGGGCCAATTATAGATTTTTTTCTCTTTCTTCGAAAAACAAATTCCGTGTTACTACAACAAAATACCAAGAAATGTTTGCAACATTGAATAATTGGTCCAAGTTAACTTGTAAATTGAGAATGACAGTGTGTATTGATTGATAAAGTTAATACGCAAATTGAAGTCGATGTGTAACATATTAGACCGTTCTTGATACTTTGTAAAAAAAAAGTTGTTTTTATGTTTCTTTTTTTGTATTGCCTCGATGAAAAAAAAGTGTGCAACACCAAAATCGTTTACATAAAAACGGCATTTACATATTTCCACATATGATAATTATAGTAATTTAAATACTATTCGACGGGCTAGCCGTTTCGACTGTATCGTTGTTTTGCAATGTTTCAGCACATTTAGGACAAAGTACAGGCGCGTAGAGAGTGGTCATTGAGCGAGAAGAAAATCAACGACATACACGCACACACACACACGCACTTGAAACCATACACATAAATGTGCGAGAGTGTAAAGAAATCATCTGAGCAAAACTGACCCAACATGATCGCACGCAAGTTGAACGGAAACACAAAGCATATGAAAGAAAAAAGGAGAAGAAAAGTGGCCGACAGATAAAAATAAAACAAAGAACAACATTTCACAATGAAATCGAAACATAATAAACTGAACATGATGCGGAGCAAAATTCACTACAATATGTTGTAGAAAAAATGGAATACATGAATGGGCTGTTGAGTTGTTTATTAAAAATGTCACATAGATTTTTCTACTTCAAGTTGATTAGATTTGATTTATTCTATCAAAATTATTTGCAAGAATTAACGTGATCGTTTGTGTATTACGATAAAATAAAATGTGAACCTTGAGTCATATTCGCCATAAGTAGCCGTTTTATGACTTCATTTTATTTAAATAGACAACGCTCGCACATTATAGAAATGTTATTAAATTTGTTGTTTTTGTATGAACCTGTACGATATGTGAACGTGCATGTTTGTACTGTTTCACTATGCGATGATTCAATGTCATGCCTTCAATTAATCAACATTTTGTCATATCTTAGCCAATAAACGACAGTAAATTGTGCATTGAATTAAATTCCACTTGTTCAGAAGTTCTTAATTTTGGTTTCATTTAAGGAGAACAATAAACGCCAAAAGACCAACAAAAATTGTTGATACGGCAAAATATGCGTGTACAATTATTATGAGACCCACTGGATTACGTACACAAAACCATTTTTGAAACATGTATTACCATTCAGTTGGTTGATTTTAGTGGCTTGTTCACTGACGTTGTCGCGCGATTTTTCAATTTTATTCAATTCGAAACTGCTTTGTATTTTCTCTTCGGATTCTCTTTCACCATCTCTTTCTCCTTCGCTTTTTTTATCTCTATCATTCTTAGTGACTCTTTTTCCATTTTAGCTAAACGGAAATCATTAATTCTAATGGACGGAGAGAAAATATAACAGCGCCAAATTGATTCTATGCTATACACTAAAATATGAGACCCAATCAAATTCACAACGCACATAACGTCAACGAATTCAGTGTGCATATCTCATGTGTTTGGTTGACAGACCACATAACTCGCACGCCGAGCTGTTTTCGCTTCAGAGAATACAAAGAATTGATTTATTTATTTTATTTTTGTGTGTATGTTTTGAAAATGTTTTGAATATATATGACTGTTAACTTGTGGCAACCGCGAATGCACATGTTTATGTGTATGGTACGCTGTTTTCATCGCTTGGTTAGTTTCAAGTGCAAGTGCGTAATGCAAATGCCCAAACTGAGTAAGAAAGACGTGCCGACAGACATCATATATAGTTAAAATACCGCAATTCACAGCCAATTTAGACACGAAATTTTATTTTGCTGTGTTTTTATTTTGTCTGTTTTTTTTACTTCTTTTTTATTTTCCACGGCGACACAACATCACAACAACACAACACAAGTGATGATGAACACGGAAACTTGACTTTGTAAATTGCCATCGATCTTCATCATTTTATGTGTAAATTACTGTCGAATGAGATAATAAAATAAAATGAATTGCAAACATTGATTGCACTTCGAATCGATGTCTGCCTGAACATGGAATAGATATTTTTTTTAAATAGCAGAATATTTTAATTTTCTATTGGCTTTTGAGCGTTTTGACTTTTAGTACAGAATTTTCATTTGTTTCCTTATCACACACCAGCTTATGTGTGTGTGTAGTTCAAAATTGATAAAATTCTGGTAGGTAAAACCAAATGACAAAAATCAATTGTATAGCAATGGCTTTTTTTTATCTAAGCGTTGAGTGAGTGCAGGCTTGTTCATAGATACGATCCCAAAATACATTAACTGGCTACATTGCTCATTTTTGTTTTGTTTTCACAAAAATTCTTTTGTTATTAAATTTCTTGTTTTCCGGTATGTTTGGTTTTGGTGTTGTTATGTGTGCATGTTATTTATGTTTGTTTTATGTGTATGGTGACATGAGATAAAATTACACTTTGATCAAAGTGAAGAGAGAAAAAACACAGTCGCATTAACATCTACCGAAGAAGCTCCAACTTGAACTGCAACTCTGGACTCTAGACTTTTTGAATCTAAGAGTAAAACAACCTTTCATCGTTATTGTCGCTTTATTCGTTTCTCATCCTCTGAAAATCACATAAAAATAATGTTTGGCGCTGTTACATCTAGAAACAAAGTAGTAATATTGGTTTTTGTGTGTTCCTCTTTGCCATGCCCTTCTGTTTGTTTCGTTATCAAGCATCGTGCAGACCCAAAATCATATACCGACCACAGTAGAAATTGAATAGATTGTGCAGTTTAATTAAGTTAATCCAAGATGGTGTCATCCATTTGGAATCATTTTAAACAAATTTTAATGAGGTTTTTTCTTCTCTCGTTTCAGTAACATCAACGTTATTCACGGTTGGAACCAGTTCTAGAGGCTTAGTGTTTTCAATAAATACATTTTATATTTGAAAAAAAAAAAAAAAAAATCAGTGAGAAAGAAAATTAAAACGATATAACCGTTCGTGAGCCCAGTGAATGTGATTGTGAGTGTAAATGTGATGCTCAATGAAACTTGTCGATAAATTTAGATCATAGATGTTCGACCCGTCACCGAAGATTCAATTCACAACATGATCTACAATTGAATAAATTTCAATGAGCATAGAATGCGTGTTATCGACGAGAACAATAGTGGCCATAAGCAAATCAAATGATGATGCGACCAATTTCATTTGTGCTACATATTTGCATAATTACGATATTTTTTAATTGTTCAATATGCGCCGAACTAAGGAAATTCGCACAATCAACAATAATAAACCACGACGACGACGTTGGCATTGTGGTGCCCACGAACAGTTTATACTTAATTAAAGAATCGGCGAATGTGCAAAGCCATAACCGTTCTTCATCGTACGATGAAGACGAATCGGATTATGGACGAAAACCGATTATCAATGAATCTAGTCAACGAATTGACGACGATTTTGTGTCCTTACCCAATCACCATATCGGGTACTATCTCGAAAATCGCAACGAAAATAGCAAAACACAATCGATCGTTGAGTCACAAAAACACAAACGAGCAATTGAACCACAAGATATTTGCGATACAAATGAATGTAAATGCAAATTCGAAACGAAATTTTTAACAGTTGATTGTCATTTTCAACAAGTAAGTAATTTTATTCATGTTTTATTTACATTTACTAACTAACACTGCTCAATTTCAATTGGCCGTGCTGTTCCACATTGAGCATTGGTACAAATGTTATAATTAGCATGTTTGATTAGCAGATTTGTCGATTTCGTAAATGTGTAGACAGTGACAATGTGAAAAACGCAGTTTAAAATGCCTCATTTTGTCGATAGACATCACATTATTCTATCTCTCTATCGACGAAAACAAAAACGATGACGATCAATACGTGCGATTCATGGAATTGAAAATGCGAGAATATGCAATTTTATTTGAAAAAAAAAAAAACACACAAACAAAAGCCAACGTTTTGTATATTGTTTACATTTTGTCGCAAAATTAATTGCAAACACAGGCACATACACTCATAAATAGTCGCACAAAACGAACGTAAATATATCCAATTCAATTTAATGAGATAAATTAAGTTTACGCTAAATGCGCGTATAAGACCTGTGATTCACAGGCTGTGAAAAATGTACGAAATGAAGCAAATACAATTTCAGTTTTATGTTCGAGCTAAACTTAAAATCTATATGAGATACTATTTTTAGAGATTTTTCACAGCGTTCGCCACACACAACATATTCTCAACTGTCTAAGTACCATTTGTAGAAATTTTTTAAATAAGAAACGAAAAAATAATAAGAAATAGATTCTTCAAAATGGGTTAATGTCATTTATACATCCAAGTACGATTTCGCCATATGTTTTATTTTTCTCTCAACAAACAACTTTTATGTTTTCTCTCCTCTTGAAACGGAAATAGCACTACATATTCGGCACTGGCAAAATGATTCAACCGTCCGCTGAAACGTTGCTGATTACATTGTCTTCTGATGCGGAGTTTACATTGGATGGAAATGTGTTCAAAAACAATCGTCTAAATCGGATCATGATTCAAGGAAGTGGTTTCGATACGGGTCGAGAACATGTCGAAATAAAAGCGAATGCATTTTCTGGTAACTTCGGACCATTTCCAGAGATTGAAATTGTAAACGTGCACACGGTGAATATTCGATCGAATGCATTTTACCGTAAGTGACTTATTATTGTGATTGACTAACTAAACTGACACCCAAAATCAATTTCTTCCATTTGACATTCACAGGCGAATTTAAACTAAACATTACAAATTGTGCCAAGGTTCGGATATTTTCGGAAGCATTTGCCAGCACAACATTTCATGCGCATTTCGAAAATATTGCCGATTTTCAATTGCTGGAACGTGCATTTTCCAAATCGACCGCAAAGGTTACGATCAATAACAGCCGATTGGATGAACTGAAGCGACTTGATGCAACGCTCAAGGAGATTAAATTCACCAATACTCATATTGGTGTTGTGCAAACCAATGCATTCGATGTAATTAAAATTGATTCGATCATCTTTGAAAATTGTCACATCGAAACTATTCAAGCGAACGCATTCACCGAAAAAGTAAGATTCATATGGATAATTTTAGAATTTTCGAACTAAATGCCAAATGTTGGATTTTTTTTATTTTCGTATAGTTGCTTAGCAATCTTCTAAATTTGACTGGTTGCTATATTGGAATGATCGAAGCATCTGCCATTGCGGGAAGTGGAGTTAGTGAAGTCATTCTCAATAATAATAGGTAAAAAAAAATAAACGATATGAAAAGAAATGTGGGAAATGAAATAAAAATGTTATAACTTTAATTTCAGTATGTCAAACATAAAGGGAAAAGCAATTACATTGACTTCAATTAACATACAAATTCAGGGCAATAATATAAGTCTGACGGAGATTTTTTGGTTTCGCGTTGAAGGCTGGTCGACCGTTGTGATTGAGAATAATCACTTTGGCGTGTACGAGCGTATGGGTGTGGAGATCACAAAGAGTCCAATTAAATGCATGTTTGAAAATAATTTCATCACAAAAACCGTGGCCGACAGTTTGAACTTCAAAAGTCCACATTGTCGTGTCAAACAAGTGTCATTTGATCGTGCGTGTTCATGCAATTCGACGTATTTCCGGGATCTCTCATACAACGACCTCAGCTCAGACAGTTATTGTCGCATCGATTCAACTCTGGCACATTGTTTCAATGCCTCACTTTACAACGTAAAATCATACAAAGATGCCATCTGCGATGACTCAAATCAAATTGACTGCGTCAAAGATCGAATCAACGCCAAACGAAATGGCTATTTCATCGATTTGGATCGTTTTTTCAATCGCAGTGATAAATTATTGTACGTTTATTTAGGCATTGGCATTTGGCTAATAATTGTGATAATATTCTTGTTAATGCTAATCATTCGACGTTGTTTAAAAACTAAAAAAGATATTGATGATGGACCAACACGTGACATTATGTTAATGGAAAGTTTGCATCCAACAACAGCCACATTGACAACTCAACTCTACCATCAAGGATTCATCGATTCGGATTTGGTTGTTATTAATCGAACACTACGGGAAATGAAACAAAAATATCAACCCGAACTGTATGATCAAATTGATAATAATACACGAAAACTAATAGCCGGCAATCTGACCGAAACCGATAAAGTGAAAACGATCGGTGAAATCGTTCAGTGCTTAAACGACTGTGAAAATGAGGGCATCGATTTCATTGCATTTACAGACATTTTATATAATCACCTCGGTGCTGGTTGTGAAACAATACATACACAACAAATAAATAGTCCAATTTATGCAGAACCCGCTTTGGCCCATTTGGATATAGTGAATTCAACGAATGTCGGTCGAAATAATCTCAATTTTATTGGCGAAGGTATTGACGGTGAACATATCTACGCAGAACCAATGAATCTGCAACAGCCACTGTTGCGAAATGAATATCAAATGCCACACGATCACGACAACAATAGTCACATGTATACAGAACCGATAACCGGTGCCATAGGTGAGGATCTCTTTTGTCATAAATGTTGTGTTTTGATCAATGGTGGTAGTCAGAATCCATTGCTCGACACAATTCGACTGGAAAAATGCACATGCAAAGCGCAAATTGACGATCTCTACTCGCACTTCATTTATTCATAGACTGACTTTGATTTCATTATTAAATCGTAGGTTAGTTTTCATTTGAATAAAAAAAATTGCATCCAGTAAAGATAGCTACACTACCATTGCTTGTTTCAAAAATATCAAAAATTAACACACATTTCAATCTTTCAATTCATTCTTTCGAAACACCATCAGATACTATCACAAAATAACTCAATTTTTTTACATCAATATTTCTATGATATACATTTTACATTTTCATTTGTTGCGTCTTTTTCATACATATAGATTATATCTCATCACCTCGACCCGTAAATCCCATCAGTAAGAAATTCGATCCATCACATTTGTACGCATTACCGTCCAAATCAGTATCGCGACCGAATCAAGCGAGCTGTCTGCCAACAATTGAAGCTTCGACAAGTTCAGCATTTTCCAATAATAAAAACCGTAGTTTACCAAAGATTAGTTTAGGCGAAAAATTTAAGAACAGCGCACATTCATCATCACAAGAATCGAATTCCCATTCAGATCACTCGGGCGCCAGCGGCGTTACTTTACCATTAGACGAACCAATTGAATATGCAGACGCGTGATCAAAAACATTTAAATCAAAATTATTCTATATCCGTATGTCTCAAATACTTTTTTCTATTTCAACTATATGAACTGTTTTTTTTTTTTTTTCAAAGATTGTATGAAAATTTAAAATTGATTTTTTTTCGTATATATTTGGCGTTAAACATTTTTTTTTTGATGATGTGATTTTGTATATTTATATAGCAATATTTATTTTGATCAATTCGTATGATCAAATTACGTAAGATAAAAGACCTTAAAAATTGTCGTCTTTCAATTGCAATCATTCGAAATTTGATGAATCAACATGTTGAAATTCATATATCGGAGACATCAATTAGCTTTAGGTTATTATTTTAAATGAAAATTAAATAAATGGTGTAATCAAAATCTGTTATGTATAATTTACTATTAATTTTATTCACAGTGATAATCGATTCGATTTCATTTCGATGAAGTCATTTGTAGGTAATTGTTACTTTTTACGCGTTCACAAACGAAGAAATACCGCGTTCCATTTCAATATTGTTTTCTTATCTACTATTGATAAAATGACGAGCGATAACAATTGCCGAATCGCATCGCTCACCGCGTTAAATAGAAGACCGCATACCAGTATTAAAAGTATAGTTTGACGGTGAGCACATTCCATGGTTGGCACATATGTGTAGTAAATGCACATCAAAAAGGGAATAAAAATTCGAACAACCTACATTTATCGAGAATATTTGTTTAGTAAACACACGGATTTGTTTGGATTGACGGAGTCGCATGTGCAATTGATTCGTTCCATCTGTAAGAGATTATAATGTCGAGGCAGCAATTTTCAATGAGACAGCGACCAAACAATTGACCGATGCATACAAACAAGCAGCGTATTTTTTCTTATTGACATTTTTACTTTGCGCAATAACGAAAACAAAAAAAGTGGCTGAATATTTATTTTTCTATGTGTAACGGCATTTGTATTTGTAAATTAGATAAGAAGACTTGTTCACATCGTACAATCATCGCTCGTGTGTTCAGACTTCAGATGATTTTTGAACATACGCTTCGCATTTTCGGTTTTTGTTTGTCGATTTTTGTTCTGTTTCGCATTACCGTACAGCAACCAGCACGCGTCAAATGACAAACTTGGTATTTTGCGTTTTGGAAATTATTAATAAGAGATAATTTGTGTGCTACATTTAGTGCGTTAACAAAATCATCGTTTTTTTTTTGTATATTTCGAATGGTTAAAAACTATTGATATGTACCCGAAAAAGTGGGTCAGGTGTACACAGTTCAAATAATGACCGAAAATAGTGTAATTTACGTAAGAATTTGAATGGAACAAGTATTTCGTCATCAATATGGTTTCAAAACAAATGAGAATCTTGACGTGGATTTTTATATTTACCACCAATTTTCTAATCGTGTATTGCGATGAAATTTTAATAAAAGATTATAAGGAATTAAAATGTACGTATGATCCTGAAACCGGCGATCAAGTATGCGACTGTAAAAATCGCAAAAGGGTAAATAATGTTTTTGTTTGAAAAAATGACAGTGAAATCCAGAATCAACTGAATTTTTTTTTAGAATTTTATTCTGCCATTGCTTGAGGGAACCCTGAAAAATGTGATTGTCAAAAATTGCAAGGAAGTTAAGGTGCTTCAGGAGACGTTTCAAAATGTAGACTACATTGAACACATACAATTTGACAAGATCAAAGAGTTAAGCTTAGAAAATTATTCATTGCAATTCAAACAACGATTGCCAATTCCCAAAATAAAGTTGATATTCAACGATGTGAGTCAGAATTTTGAATTAAAATATTATCAGAATCAATGGCATGGTCATTCTATTTTCAGGTACGCTTCTCAGAAATTCTACCCCACTCAATAAGCGGCTGTATTGATAGTATTTCATTCAATAATAGTCATATTGAAAAGTTAAGTGCCTATGCGATAAATAGCGTGTGTCAAACCGTGTACAAACTTTCAATTGAAAACACGAAAATCGATTGGGTTGACAGTCAAGCGCTTAAAAAATTGAGTATCGAACATTTTATTATGCAAAACACCACATTTTCGCACGATCTACCGTCTAGAACATTTAGCGCTTTAATAATTAAGAATGTAATGTCAATTACAAACTGTACATTTGCTGGGATTAGTACGCGTACGATAGAATTGGATGGTATGCATACACACACAATTTATAAGTAAACAAAACTAATAATCTTAAAAAACCTTGAACTTCATTTTATTACAGATGGAAACGATTTTATTTTTTCCAATAATAAAGTTGATCGTCTTGATGGCGAAGCATTTCGAATGAATGCCAATGGGCGGATTATATTTGAACGAAATAATTTTTCACAAATTAGCCACTCAGCACTTTCGGGTACAAGTTTATTGAAAATTTGTTGACATTCATTTTTTTCAAAGTGATATTTCATTTATTCCAGCCATAAATTTGGGTGAGAATGCAAAACATCACCAAAATGAAATTCAATTTTTAGCAAATGAAATAAAGGCCACTGATTTTCCAATTCGACTTGACGTTGCGCGTGACTTCAATCTGCGAATTTTGGATTTGAAATTCTCAACGCCAATAAATTGCGATAAGGCGAAGGAATTTAGGCGAAATGCTTTCTTACAAAAGTACACAGAAACGGTGTATTTTCGCATTGCAGAATCAACAGATGATGACTACAGTTCATTGTCAGCTATAATGTCAAACAGATGCACCATTAGAACGTACTTCATTGCACTTATATGGACGGGTATTGTTTTCATTCTTTATGATTAATTTTATACTCTTTTCACTGTCATCATTGACTTCATTGACATTTATTCAATTGTCATTTATAAATGTTGATAAATTTATATGTGACAATTATGTTGATGATGATGATGGAAAAGAACACAATCAGATTTAGCGAGATATTTACGAGAAATGATTGAAAACCATGAAAGTCAGGCTTGTGTACGCACATAATATTGAATTGAAAACAATTTTGGCAACTAAGATGGTTGAATTATGCGAAACAACTTTTTTCAGCGAGCTCTTTTTCTACGAATACAGTATTTTTGCAAATTAATGGTCATTTCAGCCGAATTTAGACCAGTTTTTGTCTTACAATTTTTAATTATAGCTGTTTTCACGATTTTATTTTCATTTTTGTCAGACATTCTATTGAGATATTTTCAGACAGATGATTCAGCTCAGGAAGCTTATTGATTGTAAGTGTTTTTATAACTATAAAAATCGCTCCATTTCTGCGCCCGACATTAGCTGCCTAAATACATCTCAATATAATGTCTGATTTTTTTTAATCGATTCGATCGTTTCTTTCGATTTCACTTTTTCATTTCAATATGTATTTATTCTTTTTTATTCTTTCATGATTCTCTCCTAGGCATAGTTTTCATTGTTATTTTATCGATTATTGCCACCGCATTTTTCTATCGATTTTGGATGAAACGTCGACCAAATCGACAAATAAGTATGGTCATTCCAGATGGTAAGACATATTGTGAGACCCAAATTATGATACAGATTGAAAACGCCGGCCTACTCAAAACCAATTTATGAAACTTCGTTTGGATATTATTTATTTTTCTTTCAAATTTAGCCAATTTAAGATAATCTATTTTTATGTTAGCATATGTTTTTTCAAACGATACTTTAAATAAGAAATAAGAATTCTAAAATAAATTTTCGATTTAAAAGTAAGAAAAATTGATAATAAATTACTCACCCAACAGGTAGATAAGAATCAAGAGCTTGGTTAATTGTTAAAATTGAATCGGAAAGAGCCAGTCCTTTAGATAAAAGTGCCGAATGAATATGAATGGTTTTTTCCACAGCCGAAAAGTCTTCCAATGGATTCTCGCCCGGTAAAGTCAAACTTTTCTTCAGTAAACTAGCACTACACATGCCACCCAAGTAAGCGAGCTCAGATTCCAACCAGTTCAACGTCGAATTTGGAATTCTCGTCTGTAAATATTAAATAGATATTCAGAATCTATGCTTTCTAACATCAAAAAGGAAAATACTTACAAGAGATGGATTGTCATATCCAATGATCAAACACTTGAAACCAAAATTGTTCGCATGTTGATCGTGAGCATAGTTTGTAGCAGTTTCTAATGATATATTTACTTTGTTACCGGGTAAGATAAGCGAATTTTGTGTCCAATGGGAAGGTCTGAAATGAAAATATTTGTTACCAATTCAATGAGCTTAGTTCTTGTACTTATTTGAAAGATTAAACTTACTTATTAAACATTTGAGCAATGTGCCATTCGTCGTCATCGCCACTACCGTACTTTCGTTCTTTCGTAAATGATTCGAAAGATGTAGTTAATCGGGCGTTTTTACAAATACCCAAATTATCCGAGTCAAAAGAAGTAAATCCATCAATGACATCGTATTCATCGTATTGCGAACAAGATTGATCGGACGAGTTGGTCAGTGTTGTTGAAAAAACTTGTTTTGGTATCGAGATGAGCAAATAATCTTCAGGTTGAGCGGTTCCACTCATTGGATCGAATTCAATTGTTAGCCATTGGACGCAAGGAGGAAACTCGACTCTATCGAACAAAAAATATAAATCGCGATGTTATAAAATAATCAAGATGCTATAAAATTCGAGATCGTGAAATTACTTGTAATTATTAATCGAAGCTCCTTTATACGGATGATCACTTTCAACGATGCAATAATGATTGCTCGTTGTCACCAGATCTGCTGTTGTATTCACTTTGCTCGTAATCAAAGCGGCTGCATTTCCATCGTCAACATGTTCGTTTTCTATTTCAATATTCTCTGCGGGTTCATTGATTTGTTCTGCTTTCACCTGATTTGGTGTGGTTTTTCCAAAATCTGTGTGTTTTCCTGAATTGATTTTGTTCAGGGCGGCGACGTGTGGGAGAATTTCTCGAATTAAAGTTAAAACTTCAACAGAACTCCTTGGATCGCTATTGGCCAAAGCGGCAATATGGCCAAAAGTTAATGGCAAAAGAGTATGAAACATGCTGTGCGTATGAAACAAATAAAGTTTACATTTAGTTTGAAGTTTACATTTTGTTTTTTCATATTTTTTTACCTCGACGTTTTATGCTGAAAAATATTTAGAATTTTTTCTTCATAGGTTTCCATTCGATCTTCTTCGGATTTTGAAAATCCAAAATCTCTCAATGATCCATGAATTAATCCATTATTTCCATTTATTTTCGACAATTGATCCGATTTGATGTCATTTTCTTTGATCAAATCTTTTGGGTGAATTTCCGTAGAACCGATTTCAATCTCGTATTCGAATGGATTTGTTGAGCGTTTATCAAATTTTAGAGTTTCAAAAATACCCTTGGAGAACGATTCGAGGCGTTTGGTCAAATCACGAGCAGTTGAAATATTCTTTGACGTCGCTTCGGTTGGTGTATTATTGGTGTGAGTAAATGTGATGTCAACATGCTCTTCAATCGGTGTAATATTTTGCTCGGAATCAATCGTTTGTGTATTATTTGATGAGTTGCCACTTTTTTCAGACGGTGTAATTGATGTTGCCAATGCATTTCGAGCAAGTATCAAAAGATCCGTACATTTCTTTGTGATGTCACTAGAAATCTATTCGCATAAACAACAATTGATACGTTAAATTCAATCAAATGAAATTTGTTTTGGATTGTTTACCTTCAATGCTGTGTCTCTGGCGTGAATTTCTGTTCGAATTTTGCCATTGATTGATTCGGGTTTCATTGGTGAACTGTAATACAGTAAGCAGGGAATTTGTCCTCGTTTGTCTGAAAAAAAATTGTTGATATTGAATTTCTTCACATTTTACGGCATCATTAATTTTTGCATCAATACCTGTCGTTCCATTGAAACTTAAATCACAAGGATAAAATGAAAACATTGCTCCGCAAGGACCTCTTATTGATCCAAAACCACTATCGCCGGAACATGTACGAGCACCTTGCGAACATAGACGAATCGCATACCGAGTATTTTCCTACATTAAAATAGAGAAATATTGTTGAACAATTCATAAAAAATCAATTTATGATACTAACCTTTATATGAACTGGTCGTTCAAATTTCAATTCAGCCATTTCATTGCTAACGATGTCTTGATCATAAGTGCCTACAATTTTTAATTAGTAAAATTTTATTTTTTGTTTTCTGTTAAAATAAAAAAATCATACATACCAGAAATAGATTCCAATGTTTCCCATTTATGTTGGGCTGGTGATTCAAGTGTATCATACAACAATTCTAATTGATAGTCATAAGATCCAGAGCCTAGAATTTAAATTATTGACATTTTATTGCTTTTATTTTCATTAAAAGAGTAATTGGTTGAAAAAAAATATTAATCAACCTGAATAGACAACAGCACCGGCAACCGCAATTCCGGGTCGATCGACGCTGAAGCAAATGGCATCAGGTCCAAAATTTCCCGTATTCCATGTACGGCATGGATCACGACGAGCGAATCGACAGCCCGACGAACGGATACTTTGAGATGGCAACGACGGGATTTCATTCTTAAATAAATGAGAAAAACAGTAAAGTACAAATCAAAATAAGAAAATGAAATTCAAAATTGGTACCTCTGGTGCACTTTGGAATATGATTTCTGATAAAACTCGAGCAAGGAGATGACAACAGTTATCGATTAGTTTTTGATGTATACCAGTGTTAATGCTGGTCAATGAATAACTACAACGATTGTGAATATTTTCAATTTTTGACTTAATGGGATACGAAATAATTTCCAGCAATCGAACTAAGACATCGTTGAATGTCCAGCTATTGCACAAAAATTCGTTTTTCTCCAATTGTGTGCGATATGTCATTTGCTCGACCAAAACTGGAAATTGATAGTTCTCGGACGAAGAGAGCATTGGCAAGCCCGAATTATCTGATGGACTGATGATTGACTAATTGTGTGAAAATATTAGAAACAATCAGGTGAAAATTGAATTTAAAATCATTGAATATTATTTCTTACCATGCTTTCTCTGTTCGTAGACAAGAGCGGGAATGTTGATTTAAGTTTAACATTAGTGTTGCAAAGACCTGCTAAAATAGCACTCAACAGTCGTGCATGCATGATGCCCTATCACAACGATTTAAAGAAAATTAACATCATCATATTAACAATTTGAAATCGATTTGTGAAATATTTACCTTGTCTTTTTTCATCAGTAAATCGCACAAGCAATTCCATTTCAGTGTGTTGGTTGGATAAAATGCATTGAAACAAGATAAGAATGTGGTATGACATTCATCTAGAATTTCCATAGTTGCATCGTATCCCTCACTTTCAACGCTCAATGCAATTTCATCGCATAAAATATCAATAAGTAAACACTTAACTTCCGCAATGCATTCAACCAATTGAAGATTTTCTCCGGGTAATTTTTTCTGACTGGTCGACGTTGTCACATCCAGGCTACTGGACATCATATGCTTCACGGGCGGCTTTTGTTTTGTGGATGTACCCGATGTTTGTGTGACGCCATCTAAAATTAAATTAATTTAAAACGTGTTTGAATGAACTGAAAATATTGATTTACATAGTTGCGGGTCGTTTTTATCCTCGCCATCGGTTGCTCGTTTCCTCATTTGGAATCGATCACATTTTGAAGTATCATTTGGATAAATTTCATTCGTATATTTTCGCAGTAGACGCAAACAAACTTTGCTAACATAGTACAACCGGTTATACGTTGAAATTGATTGCGAAAGATTTTTCTTATCTTTCAAATCATTTAATGTCAATTTGAATGTTCCCCACGACCACTTGAGCAATGTAATTAAACTTTGAAAGCATTCTTTAGTGACTGAATTCGCAAAATTTTGTGACACCTTATGAACGGGATCAGAATTGTTCGGCGATTTTGTTTCTTGATTCACAATCCGGAATAAGATCGATGGAATCTGACCAGAATTTACATCGGTTCCATTATTTGCTTTCTTTGACACTCGGAAATTGAATACAATCTGATCTTCGGTCGTAACACTGGCCTGTCCACTAGAACCACAATCACTTGAAGGAAAAATTTGAAAAAGGTTAAAAATCGTTCTCATATTGAATTTTAATGAAGTAATTTTACCTTGAAGGTCCGGCAATTCGTGCCCAAATCAAATACCATCGATTGGCCGTCACATTTGTTGGTCGCGGTAAAAATATGTTGTGCTTACTACGAGCTGAAAAGAAAGTCGTAAGATAAATCGATTTAGAAGGCTATTGTTACACCTCAGGTAATCATGTTAATATTTTGGTAGGTACCTGCACATGCGTACGATACTTCATCAGTCTCAACCAAAAGAGTTCCATCCTTTTCGTAACAACCACCATCAACGCCAAGATCGTACCTACAAATTTCGAATATTCCAACCATATAATGACTATTTTACACAGCGCTATATTCACTTACAGTTTGAGTTTACAAGTGTATTCTCCTCTTCCGCCATACATTCCACATCCGACAATTACAACATCGGTATCGACCATAAATCGGATAGCTTCAACACTTTGTCCACTATATCCCCATCCTAAAAAAATATCGAAAATAGAAATCATTTTTCTTCGATCATATGCATTGATCTATTATGTTTTCTCTAACCTCCGCCCAAGTTCTCGAAACGGGTCACCGTTTGAAAATCGTTCAAACTGCTTATTGAATCCTTCATAGCCGAATCAGCTGGCTTGGGTGTTTGTTCAAAACATGATGGTCTAAAGTGGAATAGAAGTGTATTAGGACAATTTCTTTTGGGATACAGTGTTTGAATTCAAGTACTCACATTGCGTCCGGAACTGATGTTAAAATATCCAAACAGGCAAGAAGATTAACCGACGCCAAATTTCTTGTAATCAAAACATCCACTTTATTCGGCAACATGAGTTCTGGTTTTAAAATTGCAATTATATGATTGGAATATTCCAAATTTCTTGGTACTTCACTACCAATCACATTGTATAAGAAGCATTTCATTGAAATTGCATCGAAAACCCACAAAACACCATAAATTGAATCCATTTCGAATGCAAGCTGTGGCAAAACTTTTTCATATTTTGCACACTGAGTTGTTTCGACGCGTTTACGTCGTTGCGGTGGCCGATGGTGATGATGATGCTCGGAAAATTGCAGATTTTCTTGTTCATCGAATATTTGATGGCATGTGTCATATACACTTTGTGACATTCGATCAATTGCTGAACTTGCGATGGCCTGATTTGTATTAACATTCTGGTTGCATTTGTCGAAGGCCAATTGAGAAACGGCATTTATATTGTTTTGTATTATTTTTGCGAAATTTACTTGATTTCCGCTATGCGGAACACAACTTCCATCTCGACGATTTATCGATAAACAGTTGAATGACATTGGGATTTGGGGTATCAATACTGTAAATTTGTTTGAAATTATTTATAATTATTTATGCTCTACTTCATTGGTTGTCATTTTCAAACTTACGAATTGTCGATTTATTGGCTACAACGTTGATTTTCGGGAGCATTGCGCCCGTTAAAATGCTTTCATCCAATTTGAAAAACGTTTGATCGCCGGTGGCAAAAATTTGTGTCGCTCTCTTTCCATATTGTGGTCCAATTCCGCTGTTAAATGAAGAGAGGTTTAATAATTTTTCTTTTGAATCAATATCACAATGTGATGAAATCAGAAAAGATTTCAATTTTTTTTACACATTGTCCGCCGGATAATTTCCGGACCATAAGCGTTTGATAGATAGAAAGGCTTAATTTAGCTTTGTACTTACGAGACTTGTCCCGGCGTGCAATGCCATATACATTTCTTTATCTTCGCCAAATTGGCAATATCCGATTGACCGTCTTCGTTTGTGTCCGATTTTTGAAATTCATCTGAAAAATGTACATTGTGCTGCATGTCATGTGATAATCGACCCAATTGTCCCTTCGAGTGATTTCCGAATGTGTAAATAACTCCTCGGGATGATAGTAAAACGGTGTGATTGCTACCAGCAGCCACTTGTACGATAAATGAATTCAATTTAACTTGAACTGGGCCAATGTATGGCGATTGGTCGCCTGTTCCAAGCTGACCGTGTTGATTTTGGCCAAATGTGAACACTTCTCCACTCTGAGTAAGAACTACTGTATGGTGTAATCCACATGCAATCGAAATTACAGGGCTGCTTGTGCCTGGCAAAGACACTCTTTGCGGTGGCAGTGGTGCTACACGAGGCGTTGTATCACGATCAACTTCAGGAACAGTGTTTTGTGTTTCGGGTACTCGTTTGTCTTTTGAACGGTTGAGTGAGCCCTTTGACCGTTGACGCAAAAGAAATGTAAATGGTTTATTATCCTTGACACCTGGCAAATTGAAAATTGAAATGATGAACAAAAATGAACTCGATTGGTTTAATGTAAGAGAAAACAAACCTCCGGTCCCATCTGATTCTTGAAAAGAGATACACGTGCTACAGGCACCGCATTTCGAACATCCACCATCTCCATTGCCACATGCACAATTTGCTCCCGGGATGCGTTGATCAATCGTTATATTCTGTGTTGTAACACATGATACATTATATCCAGTACATTCGCGGCAAATAGAACAAACTCGGCATTGACCATGAATAATATTGTGTTCTTCAACATCGCACATATTAGACACATCAAATTTCAGCGCTGCCGCTTGATGCGTCGACGATGATGATTGTGGCTGTTGAGATTTTATGCCAAAGTCGACATCATTTTGCAATGATTTTCCTTTCGGTGATCGGCCACATTGACCCTTATTGTTCATTCCGAATGTGAATATTTGACCTTTGTTATTCAGTGCCACTGTGTGTGCCTTTCCAAGAGCTACGGTTGTTATGTGTTGATCCAATAAGTCAGTAACGAAACCGGATGATGTGTCACAGTGTGATGTGTCTTTTCCTAGCATTATGAGTTTTCCCGTGCGCGTTACCAGAGCCGACGTTCCATTATTACATGACGCATGGACAAATTGATGGCCATCGACTTTGATGATTTTCTTTGGTTTTACAGCTTTTGGTTGACGACGATTCTTCGAATGATCTCGATCTCCATCTTCTCCTCTACGCGCAGTACCTTTTTAAGTGAAGACAAAATATTCAAATTTTGAACTCAAAATTCCACATATTTGATGCAAGGAGAGTATTTTTATACCTGCAAAGAAGACACTTCCATCCTCATTGATGAGAATGGCGTGCATCCCATCATGGCCGATTGTTGCATGAACGATATTCGATGATTTGGCAACAATCAATTCAATCGGTTTCATCGACGGTGTTTTTCCTATCGATTTCAACCCCAAAGCTGACGATTTACCATAGTAGAAGATTTTGCCATTATTTGCTCGAATCAAACCGAACTCCTTTCCACATACAATTCCGGCAATTTCAGTTTCACTTGAAAGTTTCATCTCGAACGGATTAAATGATGCTTGAATCTGAAATTATTATTAATTAATCAATCTATCAAGAGTTGCATCAGTTTTTATTTTGTACCTTTTGAATTTGCTGCTGATTCAATAGTTCCTCTTCGAATGTAGCATAGCCAAATGTCTTGAAACTTTTTCGCGCTAATTGAAGCATCAAATCTGGCACAGCACTGCCGACTGTGTATAATTGCCGAACAACCAAATTGTCCTACAAAGAAACGTAACATGAGAATACTACGGAGTCAAATCTTAGAAATGTAACAAAACTTACGTCTTTTAAAGAACAAATGGCATTCAAAGAATCCTCGTCGGAAAATAATATACAATTTTGTCCATCTTTATTTGATGGCATTGCAATTTGAATGGTGGCTGTAAAGGAAATTAATTCAATAATTGTATACCATTGCGTGAAAAAAATAGAATATAATTCAAGAAACCTTTTACTTACAGTTAATTGATAGGGTTTCGGTGTTTACAACCAGCATTGTTTCATTGCTCCGTTTGGATATTTTTTTGTATAACAAAGAATTCTGTAAAATAAGACAAAAAATGTGTAAAAATGATTAAAATTGTTGCATATTTACCCCACAGAATCCAATCCATCCATTTTTCTCTTTGCAAAATTCTTCATTGACACCATATACATGGCCTTTCAACGTGCCATTGAATCCGGTTCCGATTTTGAATAAACTCTTCCCCAACAAAATGTACATATGTTTGCCGTTAGATGCGATAGAAGGCTGAACGTGATATTGGACCCTTTCTGGTATTTCAGTTTTAACGCAGAACTATTTGAAATAAAACTGTTTAATATGCTTGAACAATTGTTTCAATATGTGATTATCCATTACCTCTTCAACGAGAGAGTTTTTCGGTACACCATTTGCAAAGAAATCCGGTTTGGTTGGTTTGCCCAAAGCCACTGCATAAATGCTTCTTTGTAGTGTGGAAAGCACCATAGGCAACTATAAATTTATTGAAACAAATTAATAACCAATTTATATGTATATTCAATATTATTGGAATTTACCTGGATATATTGTCCGGATAAGATTTTTGGTGACATTATGAGTGCGGAAATTGCTTTTATAGTTTTGCCAGTATCACCACGAGCTGAAAAATACAAGGACTTTGTTTAACGTTTATCTTTAGCTAACTGTTTCCGAAAAACATAATAATTCAAGAACTTACCTATACACAGTCCAAGCAATGCTGAACACGCGATTGATGACCAATTATTAAGATCCGAGTCTTTTGGCAATGCTCCATGCAATGTAGCCAAATTTAAGAGTAGATCGTACAACGGTTGAATCAATTCGTTTGGTTCTGATCGAAAACTCTCTGGTACTTGTCCTTGAATCACATCAAAGAGTGCTCGTAACCCTTTTGTACATAAGTTTGGGCTGACATTTCTTGCCTCGGCTATCAATTCAAACAATCCTTTCAAGCCAGCACCAACGATCTGAAAAAATAAATAAATATTTAATGTTTCTCTTCGATGCACCAATAACATTTTTCTATTGAATAAACCTGTGGAATTGACATCATCAATTGTTTGTCGGTGATGTCGCCCATTAAGCTGTCAGCGTCCGTATCAATATCTTGTTGCTTGGCTACCTGATGACATTGTAGTTTTTTGCTATTTTCCAAGATGTCAAACAAAGACTGTGATCTTGATTCCGATTCCATAACAATTGCGCGAATCGCGGAAAATATTGCAAATTTAGATGCATTAGGTAGTACTTCGATGCGATTAATATTTGATAATTGGTCATGATTGTTTACGGCACAGGTTCGATTACGTTTACGACGACGATTTCGATTTCCACGATTTCCAGCCGGAGATTTTCTGTGAATTGCACAAAATTGAGATTTATATATGAACTATCGATTTTGACATTTTCCGGCAATGTGGAGTGGGTTTCAGTCACATGGAGAAGCAGAAACAACATGTGGTTGAATTTGTTTGTAAACAAAATAAATGTGCTCAAAAGCGGTGTAATTTATTATTTCCCCTCCAAATAGTTGACATAGTTGTGACATGCGCAGAAATAAGCACGCACAGATTCGAGACATTTTGATTTTTTTTTTTAATTCATACAATATGATGAAAATTGCTTTTTTTATATTTATTTTTATAAAAATAAAATTATGATTTCAGATTATTTCAGGAATTGTTGATCGCTTTTTGCTAACAACATTTTGTCTATATTATCTACTGTGTAGACTTTTGAAACAATATAACATGATATTAAATGACAGCCAGTTAAATTTGCACTGCATAAATCCATAAATTGTTATTTAAATCAAATCAACGTGAATTTCGATTATATCGCTTGAATTTCAAATAAATTACCTATTATCCAAGCAATTGATGTACAGTTCATGGAACTGTTCACCATATTTGGTTGGTTCCAAGGGACCCATTTTAGTTAAACTAGCTCTAGCTTGAGCGTCCAACTAATAAATTTTGAAATTAATTTTTCAAATATCCCGATAAATGGAAATGTTCAAAACTACCATTACTTCACTTTAAATGTTCACTTTTACAAAAGCCAATATTTCCAATTGAAATTCGTAATATCAATTTTTCCAATAAGACTAATCGGATAATCGGTACAAAAGACACTGAAACAGAGATTTCTTATTTCAATTTTTTTTCACTTATTCCAAATTATTTCAAATCACTTTCATCTTTTTCGAATATATTGTAGTTTTATTAATATTTATCAAATGATTTTTTTCAGTTGAAATACGCTAAAAATATATTTAATTCCAAAAAATATTTTCAACGTCAATGAAACACCCTTCTTTAAAGGGTGCATCTAATAAACTAACAGACATTGGAAAATCGATAATCTATTCTCCTGATTCTGAGTCATCCCTCTGTTTACATTTGAAAAGGGGGTGTAACCTCTGAATTAAGGGGAAAACTTAAAATACCGGCTTTTGAAAATTGTCTAAAATAAGGGATGACATTTTTATAAATACATAGAGGGATGTGATTGTGGGGAAATGTGTTGAAATAGGGTGATCTCTTATGAATGTAAATCACAATAGAGTGTTATTGTGGAAACATATTTTTCCATATAATATTGTACGGATATATTGTACTTCAAGTAACTTACAATCACTGTTTTTGTTCGGCATTCGTAATTTCTTGGTTACCGGATAATTTTCAATTTATTCAATTGGAGGATATTAAGGCATAACATTTTGATTACTTTTTACTTCATCAAGTCTGCGGTGAAATGAAAAAAATGATTCTGAATATTTTTCTATTGAAATCTCTGTTAAATTATTCAGTTCCAAATTCATGTGATATCAAATTGGAACAACATTAAATTTCTTATTGGGAATATCAATTCTTCTATTGATTAATTTATGTGATGATTTTTTTTATGTTTGAATTATTAAAATAAAAAAAAACAAACTTTAAAAAAAAATTATTCTCACTAGCCAATCTATATGATTAAATAAGAATTACGGACAATGAACCGAACTAAGTCTCACAGCAAGGTACCAAATTATATTTGAAATTTGTTGTCAAACTTGAATTAGCACATTGTCTTGTGAATTCAAACTTGTAAATTATTAAAAAGATGAATTATATGCATTATGGCATTAATATTAATTCGTTCAGCATTGTTTTTTTTTCTTTCTTTCAAATTTATTCAAATTTTTTATACAAACAAATGTAAATTGGATCAGTTTAATGACGAAAATGTCATCGAGATTAGTTTTCATTTACAAACTTAACCTTCAGTGACATCTGTAATGCAACTAATCAATGACTAAAAAGGTCTTTTTTTACTTTCAACGATTTAACACCAATCACATTTTCGATGTTCAAATTGATGTGCACACTTTTGTCGTGAACGTTGAGAAATTCGGTTGGCTTTGACATTCACTGCTGCATCGCCATTTACAGCATCGTTACTTGTTAAAATAGTCTCACCGCAAAGTAATAGTTATTCAACATCCAATTAGAATCAAATTAATCAGCCAAAATGCGGAATTTCGTGATAAGAAATACTGAACATTTTTTAGCGGCTGTACATTTGTGGGGATGGATATACTACGATTTTGCTTTTCTCTTTCCACAAAAATATGAAGATTTTGACGACACCAAACCGACGCTAAATTCAACAGCACATACAATTGTATGTAGCGTTTTCGCTAATTTATTTCAATCAATTAATCAAGCATTTTTAATCAAATTTCATCATTATTTTTTCACACCATCTAATTTTTTGTTGATTTTCAGATTTGCATCACGTTTCTGTGTATGCTTCGAACCACGAGAGATCCACCCCGCTACGAGTTGATTAGTTGCAATCCATTTTCGATCATATTTCCGTTCATTGTACATATGGGTTTGGGCGCTTACACCGCATATGTGGTCAAACACGAAATGATTGTTGACCAGAAATACATCTTCATAAACACACAGTAAGATATCATAAAAGTTAATCTACCGCTATTGAATGTCGCAAAGGCTAACCTTAAATATATATTTGCAGATGGCCGCAGTATATGGTAATACCATTTTTGGGCACATTTGCGGCGATCGAGCTTCTCTTGCGACTTAAATATATTCTCAGAAGTTACATGAGCCGAGCATGTGAAACAGTAATTACAGCGTCGTGCTTCCTTTTGGTGATGTTTTGTTTCCGGACATTTTTCCATTTACAAATTTCAATTGATCGTTTAAAACTTGAAGGAAAGACCGTCACCCTTTTTAACATTGGTTCAAATGTTTTTGACTAATATAATCACAGTCATTTTTTTGTTAGTTAAAAAGAAATTCAAACATTTATTGGCAATTGACTAAAATGTGTTAGGTAAATAGTTCAATTTTTTACTGCCATTTTTCGGATTACTTCTTAAACTCAACAACAATTTGTAGTTTGTCTATCAAGCTATTTGTGGAGGTTAGGTATTTTGCATGCTTCCCAATAGTTTGAAATAACAACAATAATAATATTAATAATGATTGTGGTGTTAACAGTAAATTTTTAAATTCGAAATAGTTAGAAAAAAATAATTTAAATTGACCAATTATATGCATAAAAATTCACAATTCTCATTTTAACGGTACAAAATTTCATTTCGAGATCTATAATATAACTTTCATTCAAATATTTTTTGCAACAGAAATCATTAAATGTCGTATTAGCTAATCTACTGTACTAGAACATAATATTTTAAACATTTGATATCGGCACGAATGATTTTAAAGATGAACGGAACCTATGAAATAAATAAATTTAATTGAATATCGATCAATTTTTTATGGCATTTTTTATTTTCCAATAAATTACATAGCTGAAAAAATACAGAGTTTCAAATTGGGCCATTTTTAATTGATTTTACAAAAAAGAAAGTTGCTAAGAATTCGAGCATGAATTCACCAAGAAATCAAATGTTAATGTGAGCCGAAGTAGTATTCCCAAGCGGCTCATGGTAACTGAGTAGTCAAATAGATGATAAAAAGTTGAAAAAAAACTACCAAATCAGAAATCTGTATGGAGGGGAAATATACTTATTACACTTTATATATTTTGAAAGTGCACATGATTCATGTTATTAATTTATTCATCATTTGAAATAAATCAACAAATTCACACGAAAAGCATTTTTTCACCAATTTCATTGACGAATGATTGAGAAATGAAATGAAACAATTTTATTGGAAGAAATATTGAATTGAGATTTGGAATTCTTCAAATGTCATTTAATTTAATGAATCAAGAAATGAATAATTGCTAATTTTCACATCGAATAGAAGTAGAGGAAATTTTAAACATTGCTTGTTTCATACTAACGACATTTGACGAAATAAATTCACCACAAATTGGAATGTCTATGGAGGGGAAACGGCGCTGCCGTTGACATTTGGTTTAAATCAGCATAGCTGTCAGTGTCATGTCAAATTGTAATCCAGTACTGACGTTGTTTTGGTGTGTGCACTTTATTCAGAAAAGGTTTCTCTTTTTTCATTGCACTTTCGATAGATAATAATTGTTGAACTTTACGCGACAAAGATTAAAATTATTTAATAATAATCATAAAAGAATTCCACCAGGTCGTGCATTTAATTTTATATTTGTTGAGTGTTAAATAAACGATAAAAACAAGATGTTAACGGCTACTTGTAAAGCTGCACCAAATATTGCGGTCGTCAAATACTGTATGTATACTTATTAAACATATTTGAATGCAAAGCGAAAAACATCAACGTATAATTATTCAAGTTCAAAAAGATGTACAATTTGAAAGCAAAATGTCTTAATGATGAGTTTCATAATGAAGATTCCAATCCAGTCACCGATTAGCTACACATATTTTTCATGTGAAAACGATGACGTCGGCAGTTTGGTTAATGTGTGTAAATGTAAATAAGACGCTCCCAAAAATAAATCTCTGAACTGTCGACCTCATTTTTTTACATACATGATGATTTTATCATAGTCATTGATAACCGTGATATTTTGTTTAAAATAACAAATACAATTGTAAATATTCGCAAAATAAAAGAAGTTAAATAAAAAAATGGAATTTTATTTCAGGGGGAAAACGAGATGAGCAGTTAATTTTACCCGTTAATGATTCGATCAGTGGGACATTGTCAACTGATGAATTGTCGGCAAAAACTTCGATCACGGCCGATCCCACTTTCACCGAGGATAAGATGTGGTTGAATGGCACTGAAGTTACCATTTGGGATAATGATAGACTGAAAAATTGCATTGAGTACTGTAAGTTACCCTTTTTTTAAAACAAAAATCCACTACATACAAGAATAAAACATCATAAATGTATTTTTTTTTCTTCAATTTTAGTGAAAAAAATTGCACAAGAAAAATTGGCCGACAAATCAATTCTAAACTATAAACTGCATATCTGTTCTGAGAACGATTTTCCGACAGCTGCTGGTTTGGCATCAAGCGCTGCCGGCTATGCTTGTTTTGTATACACTTTGGCAACACTGTACGGTCTCGAAAACGAGGAATTAACTGGCATTGCTCGGCTTGGATCCGGTTCGGCTTGTCGCAGCATATATGGTGGCTTTGTTCAATGGAAGTCCGGGGAATTGGCAGATGGAAGCGACTCGATTGCCGTACAAATTGCACCAGCAAGCCATTGGCCTGAAATGCACGTACTCATTTTGGTGGTGAGCGACGAGAGAAAGAAAGTCGGATCGACCGTTGGAATGAGATTGGCCACCGAAACATCTGAACTACTTAACTACCGTAGAAACCACTGTGTGCCGAAACATGTGGAAGAAATAACACGAGCAATTTTGAATCGAGATTTTCCTACCTTTGGTGAAATCACAATGCGCGAGAGTAATCAGTTTCACGCCATCTGCCTGGACACATATCCTCCAATGATCTATATGAACGATCAATCACATTGTGTATCACACTTCATTCATAAATACAATGAAAAAGCGGGCGAAGTGAAGGTAAGATGATTGTTTCTAAATATATCGATGAAACTCGATAATAATGCATTGTATTTGACAGGCCGCTTATACTTTTGATGCTGGAGCCAACGCCTGTGTGTACTTGCTTGAGAGCGAAGTAGCCAAGTTTGTTTCCTATCTAAATGCATACTTCCCCAATAATATAGCAACAAACGACGAATACATTCGCGGCATTCCAGTGCAAGTAAATTCATTGAATGAATCGGTAATTTTTTTCAAATGATTTCTTTTGAAATTTTGTAACTAATTTTAGTTATTTTTGTATTCGATGTAGGAAATTCAATCGTTCGGGGTGGTTGCTCCGCTAGCAAAAAATGCATTCAAGTACATAATTCACACGAAAGTTGGCGAAGGGCCACAACGACTAGATGACAGCGAGTCGCTTTTAACATCTGATGGAAATCCAAAAAATTTAAAATCATAAATTCTTGATCTTTGCTCAAAGAGCCAAACAATTATATTTATACTCAAAGGGATTGAAATTTGTTTTCACAAGTCAGCTATAAAACTGAAATTTAAGGTGCAGGGAAATTGTTTTTGTCAAGATTATCATTAACTAAGTCAACCATTTTGTACCTCGTCGCAAGAAGATAAGTCAAGCATCAGAAAATAAAAAAAAAAACACTTGAACATATTCGTTGGTATTTATGGAATAATTTATTATTGTTTTTCTATCCTAAAATTGTTTAAAATAAACTCATTTGAATTTTGTTTATGATGATTCATATATGTTTTGTTGAACATAAAATCTATACTCTCACATTTTTGTTTAAAATCTAAATTCAATTAAATTTATAGTTTGCGTTTAATATATATATATTTATATGAATACATGCTAAGTATTGCATAGAATTATGCATAGGAATGCACTAAATGGTTACTACTACAGATTGTTTTTTTTATACACATTTCGCGATACTACACTTTGCGCGCTAACATTTCTATCGCTACAATTCGTTTCGTTTGAAATCATTTCGGGATTTCAGTTTCCGGCATTGCTTTCACAAAAATAGATGGATATCTTTTGTTTTACAGCGTTCAACATAAAACTAGTTTACTTAATTTGTTGATTGCTTGTTTTTTGTGTTGTTTAATTCATATATTTTACTAATGATATTACACTGTATCTAAAATTGCTTGTAAATACTCTAGAAATGTGTAACTTCAATATCTTCTTCAAGATCATCTTTTTCGTCGTCGGTCTCTTCAATTTCTTGTTTAGCAGCTTCTGCTTCTCGGGCAGCCTTCTCCTTTCGTTCTTGTTTCTTAAGTCTACGTTCCTGTTGGTTCAAAAACAAATTTGCAAAATATATTAGTCACTTGGTTCGATTTGAAATGTATAAAAAAAGAGAGACTAATGACACTTTACCTTTCGTCTGTGACGGATTTCAACAATAATGTATCCAATAACACCTAAAACTAAATTGCCAAACAATACATATAGTTTTGTACGCGCACATAATGTAGTTGAATAAGCGTATGCGATAACGAATCCAGCCGATTCCCACAGCCGATAGTTTGAGAAAGCAGCTTCCTTGTTACGTCTGAACAACATTCCATAGAGACCTGAATGAAAAAAAGAATCAAAAATTTTAGCACTTTTCTCTTGAATAAGCGAGCGTAAGCGAATGGATTGAATGGTACCGTTAATTTGTGTTTGCCATACAGCATCTCCCACACCCCACAAACCAGCAATTGCAAAGAAGACCAAAGGACTTTCTGGATGTGGACGCCAGAAAAGCATCACAATTACAATAGATCCGTGAACAATTGTACCTGAAAAAAAAATGTGTAAATTTAATTTAAAATTTTAACATTGGATTCATTTCTAATGTTCATAACGTTTGATCACTTACCGAGAGCAATAATTGGAATTCGTCCAATATATTTCATAATTGAACCAAAGATAATTGAACAAATAGCATTAACAACACCGAAACAGATCATCACATAACCAATACTGTGGATTCCCATAGCACAAGACACATATGCCTAATGAAAAAAAAGGAATGATTAGTAAAAATATTCAAACCATTTTGAATAAAACAAAAAAAATACTCACTTGTGTAAAATCAGCTCCAATGAAGGCTTGTTCCATACCAATCCAAACAGTTATGGGAACCAAGAGTTGTTGATTGGCTTTTTTGCACTGGTTCATTGTGGCCGACAACAAAGCAACTCCCGATAATTCTTTTGCTGATTCTGATCCCTTACGTTTTTCACCATATCTATAATACGAAACATTTTAATGAATTAAACGTCAAAAATTACAAAAATTATTTTCATTACGTACCGTGACAATGGATCCAAAAGTAGTCCGATAACAATAACGGCACCAATAATACATGCTAGATAGATGGTTGTGATTTCAAAAATTTCTGAATCTGGTGGACGTTCGAGATTCGCATTTTCAGCTGAAGCAATAACACAGAAATTTGCACCGCATTGAGCTAAAGCAGCTTCGCTGAATGTATGATTTCCACTGCCACCACCACCATGAGCTCCGCTTGACAAAACCAAACTGCTGATCAAATTTCCCCACAATTCGGCCGTTTGCCAGGCCAAGAAGAAGAATCCAAAGAATCGCACAATAATTGCATCGACAGCTTGATCCGTTATCTTAGCATAAACTTGACCGCACTGGGTTAGATAAGTGGCTTTTGATGCCCACATAGGAGCTGCACCCAAACCGAGCAAAATACCAGCTGGCACCAATGTATAGAATCTGAAAATTTTGCAGTTCCGTTAGCATTCACATCAAAGCAACATGAAAAACAGTTGCGTGTCTTGAAAACCGTACTTACTTTGGATAGAATTGGGATGCAATGTAGGGGACATAGCACAACATACTGGCACATAATGTCCATTTTACGGTAAGCCGTCTAATCACAAGTGTTGGGATAAAAATACAAGATACCACAATAGCTGCATAAATTGCACTTAACGATACTGTTCCTAAACCATCTTTGGCATTGATTGAAGATTGCAAATTAGCCGTTCCCTGTAAATGATAATCATTTTATAATATGAATTTTGAATTCACAAAAAGACACACTAATTGAAAACTTATCACAAAACAAAATCACAAACATCCATTTGATTTTATTCAACCATTTCGTTTCGTGCACAAGTGTTTGTATGGGATATTAATTATTTGTCAAATATTGACATTAACTGCGATGAATTGCTTCTGTAAACAGAAACTTAAATTGAACGAAGCAAATAAAATCAAATGCTTGAATGAAATTTCGAGCAAAAAAAGAGAAGAATAATAACTATGAACGCAAATATGATTAGTGAAAATGTGATTTACGATTTTTGAATCAACGACACAACAAAAACGAAGTGGAATATTGTGTAAATTACCTGAAACGCTGTAAATTGGATCATAAACGCCGATGACAAAACTGCAACATTTTTCAATATTCTCCATTTTTCGGACGGTGAGAGCTTCACTTTTTCTCTGATCGATACGGTATCTTCTGTGTTACGCAGTGGAGGCTGAAAATTGTCGAAAAACAATATGTAAATAATATGCCAAAATGTAATTCAGCGCATTTGTATACCATACCTTAACTGGGTTGTCGCCATCATAAGCTTTATTTTCATATCCTGAACTAACTGTCATTTTTACTTAGAATCTGGAAAGAATCGAAAAAACGAGGAGGAATATTTAGTACTGCAGAATTATTTAATAAACTTTAATTACAAATTTCAGCTATGAAATACAGTGCCAAATACGAAGTAAAATTATCTTTTTAGGCAAACAATTTTCTCTTCAGGAAAAAAGTTTACAATTTATTGTTATTCATTATGTGAGCGTTTAGGATTTCCGCTAAATTCTGTTAATTGCTGTTTGATTGATCGTTTTCACACAAAAAACATGGTATCTCTCTTCAATTTGGGAAGTTCTCAACTTAATTTACATCCCGACAAACTGCGAGTTGTGTTCGGTTTTGCGCTGAAAAATCGCCAGCAGTTATAAGGCATGAAACTATTTTTAGTTGTTCGAAAAGTGTTGCGCTTTGTTACACCCTATACAATTTTATCGCAGATTTTACAATAAAATCGCACTACACTTTTTTGTATTGTGCTATTATTTACGATGCATTTGTGTTTGTGTATGGGCAGCACAAAGCAAGTAAACTCTTTTGCAGCTGGTGTATGGGATTTTGAACGATAGCAGGAAATCGACGAATATTCAAGTTTTCAATACAATTCGTTGAGTAATTCATTTTTGAAATTCACATCGATAGATTAAATACAGATTGGACTGGCTATAAAACATGAACAAGTCAAAATTAATCAAACAAAAACCTTATTGCAAATATGGAAAATGAAATAATTTTTCTTGATATTGTTGTTATTGTTGTTGCATTTGTGCACAGCAAAGATTTACCCAATAGACACGCTTTGTGGCTGTCAGAACATTTTGAGAAAATCATTGAATTTTCAATCAAGTCAAACCGAATGATTATTGTATTGGAATACACCAGTTCGTGCGAACTACAATTATATTAACTTATCACGAATTTACGGATTCTTCAAATTGTGCACATTTTTAACTTGAATACTTTGCTTACTACTATGCAATAATTCATTTCTTTTTTCCGAATTCCAAATAAAAGTGTTATCGCACACGAGCTTTCAAATAAATGTCTGTGTATATATTTTCAATTCTATTGATGTCTTTTCTTTTTCTTCTTGTCTTCAAATGACTATTCAATACACATTCACACAAAAACTTTATCAGGTCACAAAAAAATAACAATAATGAAATTGAACAATTTTTACATGTTTGTCTTGGTGATAAATGTGTTGTTGTGTGCTTTCAACCGTTTTACTGGATCCGAGTTCCAAAAATATTCAGAATATTGAACGATGTTTACAGTCGTACGATCGGCTATGATCTGAACGAATCGACGACACTATTGCAGAGATAATATGTAAGCAATAATCTTTAGACAGACATGTTACGATGGTCAAGGTTCACTATTTTGAACGATCTGCTCTCGGCGCAATTACCATTTACCAGCTATACAATTACATACATTTTCGTTATTTTACCACAGGAATTCATTTTAAACCATATAGCGAAATGATTGATTGTTGTTTTTTCACCTTTTTGCAATTTAATTGGATCTAGTTTGCGGTTGACATCACATTTTTCGAGCCACTGTTGCTGATGGTTGACCAGTATCATTCTTTTGAATATTAATATCATTACTGAATGGGATGACTGTAATTCATGTTCATTCAGCTTTACATCTGTGATGCTATTTAAACGCAACAATTGGGATCACCGTAGCCGACAAAAAAAATAATCCCGAAACTTTTCGAATATTATCATCGATATGCGTAATAGCTTAAAAATGCGTCTGATGTATGTTATCGCTCGGATGAACTTTAATAAAACACAAACTGCATGGTTCAACGCAAATTTAAAACGACAGAGATAGAAATGCGCATTACATAGATCATGGCAACACGCGACCGATATTCATGAAGAACACCTTAACTAAAAAGCGTTTTTTATCGGATGGTTGTTAAATATAGCACGTTGATGATGGCATCTAACCTCCCAAACAAAGATGTTTTCTTTCTCGATGTGTGAAACTCTACCGGAATCCTCAACTAAAGTCCAAAAGTCAATGGAATAAGCATGAAATATTGCAAGAACTTGGAATATTAATGAAATGTGAAACCCGTTTGAATCATATCACAAACTAAAAATACATGAAACCAACGTACACACAAAAGATCAATCGTTTTGCCCAAAGTTTTAGATGAAATTTTTTCATTTCTGGTGTTTTTTTTTAAAAACCATGAAGTAATTATGTCTATTCGTTTTCTTAATCTCATAAAAGTGTAAATTAAGAAAATGTTCAAGTGATTGAAAATATAAATTTTGCATATGAAAGCATTATGCATTCTAAATTGTATAACCTTGATCGGCAAATAAATGGTTTGCAAGTATAGAATTATATTTTAGAATAGTTAGTGCCGGTTGGGCGACAAAAATTGAATACCTTGTTCATTCAAATAGAACAAGTGTGCCAAGTGTGAGAGCGCATTGAATACATTCAGTTGAAACAAAAAATCATTACGCGAGCATTGAAAAAGATATTCACGATAAAAGCCATCATTTGGCACACGTTTTTCTTTCATAGTTAATCATATTTACAGATCTTGTATTTGTTGACGCCATTTATTGGCCGCAGATCGTAAAAAAGTCCTGTTCATTTTATGATAATTTTTTTTTTTTATTCTTTTGGTCGGCGACTTTTATATTATTTACTTCTTGTCGCTTTGTGATATGATGTATTAGTGATGACTCACAGATAACATGTTGTGCATTTAGTGTTTACTAAAGACTGTCTATCGCAGAAAAAAAAATGACATTCTTTTGATCCTTTAAATGATATAATCAGTCGAATATAAATCAACTGCTACTCGCAAAAAACGTGCTACAAACTGGTATCTGGACTGGAATATAGCGAATGCCCAGTCACCAATGGAAGAATCCCGATTATTCTATTTTACTGTTACGATGACCTTAGATTTGTTGTTCTTCAAAGAAAAATTGTTGAAGATGAAAAATAAAAGAACAAAATATTCTGAATAGAAAAAGCATCACGTGTAAATTAAGATTGATTAGACCAAATTATACAAGTGCTTGTATGCATTGCGCTCATCTTCCTGTTTGTCGCGAGTGTTTTTTGTAAAATGCACGAGCAAATTGAATAGGTGCGAGTGTTTACATACATTCAGATCAAATAACCAAATGTAAAGTATTTTAATTACAAAACCGGTTTGTTAAAACGCGCTTTTCCGATCTCAAATCGATTCAGAGAATGTCATGATCAAAAATGATCTATATCAAAAACTCAAATAACTTTTTTTTCGCTTAATTTTCCATAGTTAAACGTAACGCTAAAAATACGTAGTCGTTCGTTAGCTATATCGCCTGCTGTGAACGAAATCAAATGCAAACAAATCCAATGGACAATTAACTCGTGTTTCGTCATAAAATTCATGTTCAACGTTGTTGCGTGCTTGTCTTTCATTGTTAATTTATTATCGGAATTCAAAATGTTAAATCTTGGGATCGCGAGCACTTGCTTTCGATTGTACAGCATAATTCAATATATTCAGGTATAAAATCGATATGATTGTGTAGTTTAAGTGAATGCGCAAAAGAATTTACGGTCCGATTGAAATTTTATTATTACGATCTTTTTTCTTCGTTCTAGACGTAAGCCAGTTGAGTTATAAGATGTTGAAGCACATTTTGGTAAGAAAAAAACCAGTTCGTTTGTTCTTTAGACGAGTTTATTTTGTTCTCAATTGCAAATGAATCTGAACAAACAAAATGGCTAAATAAACCAATTGCCACACTCTAGTTTTTTTTTCGTTTCTTCAAGCAATTTCCTCAACTTGGCTTTATGTATTCTGTATGTCAGTTGCGCGCTCTTGGCAAACACGACTCTCAAACAATGGCGAAAAATAAACACGTGCGACAATACGTTAAAAGACGAAAATAAAAGTTTTGAAAATGACGATTACGACCGCGACAAAAACAAAACGATTTGCTAAGAATCGACAATGATGAGCATTTGGCACGAACCGTCAATTGTGATGGGCCCGAAAGTGGACTGAGAGATGTGTCTATCATACTCCTTCTATTCCGATCAATTGAATATCACATTGGCATACAGTTTTAAACAAATTGAAATTCGACTGCGCAATTTAAAGCGTTTTTTTTTTCTTTTCATCTTCCACTTCGCTTCGTCTCACACACGAGAAGGTTACAGTCAAAGAGAATTGAGATGGCTGAGAGAAAAAAAGCCACTTTAAATTAAAAGTACTTTTTCTGCTATCAATCATTTGCCTCTTAAACAAAAGCTTGTACGATAGATCGAGCCGGCCAATACAATACAGTCGATACGCGTATTTGACAGCTTCCTTGCTTCGGATGGCTCTTATAGCCAGCCTTAACAAGTGCTTTGCATTCCCGTTTTGATACCAACCATTTTTATTCATTGATCGATTGTATGCGTTTTTTTTTTCTCGCAAATATTTGACCTCCAAATTTCTTTTGATTTGCTTTCGCGATTGTCGTCATTATTGCGAATTTGAATTCTATTCATTCTGCTGTGGAATGTTAAACGAACGAAAAAAAAACATTAAACAAAACGACTTAATGTAGAAGTGTTCTGAGATCAATGCTGATACCAAGAAAGTCTTTATTATAATTCAAAATGATATAAATCTTTTTTTTTTCGAAGATGACGTTCTACTTGTCGTATGAAATATGATCGCAAAAATCCGTTTCCAATTACGTGAATGACTTGGAAAAATTGCTGATTTATTTTATTTTATTTCGATTTAAGGCGCTTACAAATACGCATGGAAAGGGCATCGTAAAAATTAAGTTGAAGTCTTAATCGAACAGGCCGAACACTTTAAGCTAAAATCTTTACACACAAAAAAATTACTCGACAGAGAATCCGTTAATAAAGTATTCATCGTTTTATATTTTTTTTATGTTTCGCATGCGCCTTTATCTTCACTTCAACGGAAGGTTAACTGAGACATAATTTACGCTTGTAGCTAAAGAAATTCGATAGCAGGGTTCATC